GAATTTCCAAGACTTAAAAAGTTGTATTCAATAAAATAGAGCTGAATGTAAGCGAGACATTTCCTGTGAAAAAATGTCATTCATTCTTTTGACTTTTCTTCTTCAAGTTCCCTGATACAATGTTTCCATGTAATCTTTAGATCATTTGGTTGTATTTGTTTCTGGGTTTCCAGTGCATACACTAACATTCAAAAGTTTAAGGTTTATACTTTTATTCAGCAAGGATGCGTTAAAAAGTGACAGTAAAGACATTTATAATATTACAAAAAATGCCCATTTCAGATAAATGCTGTTCTTTTGTACTTTCTATCGATCAAAGAATCCTGACAAAATAAAATGTATCAAATTTTCCACAAAAATATGAAGTGGCACAACTGTTTCCAACATTGACATTAAATGCTGCTCAAGAAAATCAGCATATTAGAGTGATTTCTGAAGGATCATGTGACACTGAAGACAGGAGGAATGATGCTGAAAATTAAGATTTGATCACAGGAATTAATTACATTTGAAAATAAATTCACATAGAACACTGGCATTTTAAATAGTACAAATATTTCACAATATTACTGTTTTTACTTTCATTAGAGTCTTCTTTAAAAATAAATAAATAAAAAATAAATAAAAATCTTCCCAACCCCAAACTTTTGAACGGTGTAGTCTAGGTGGATTTCTAAAGAATTCAAAATGATCATTTGTGGGGAAACAGACTGGAAACCCCTTTTCGAGTTTTATATTAACTATTATTTATAAGAGTGAAAGATTTAACCAAACACAGCCCTCATTTACCTCTTTAGTGACGTTATCCTGCACCAGGCTGTACAGGGGCACGATACGGCTGACTTCCAGGAGGACTGGCGTCGGGCTGGGCGTCTCACGGCCTGCTTGTCTGCACAGGTGACAGGCAGCCGGGCAGGTGCCCTTCTCCTGGCACCGGATCTCCACACCGGCCACCAGGTCATCAGACAGCAGCTGCGTCTTCAGCAGGCCTGACAGGTAGCTGATGAACGGCACTGCTTTCAAGTCCCGCCGGCCACCCTGGTCTGTGACTTCTGTGAAGGTGAGAGACAGAATGACGTCACTGGAACACCATGTCTTATGGCAGAGATTTGTGACTCAGATCATGTCCGGTTCTGGATCAGAACTAAGCGAAGTTATTAATAGGAATGAGCCTATTAACGCAGGAACTGAAGCAGGAGGGTTACTTTTATGCAGGGTGTGAAAATTGTGATTAAGAGAGATGACGAACATGAAAAATCTACTTCTTGGAAACGTAATGTTGTATTCATGTTGGTTTCAAAGGCTTTGAAAGACCTTTATATCAGTTTCAACAAAAGTTTTACTTTGACGCTTCTAAAAATAGTAATGTGAGCATGTGAGCCCTTGTAAAAAAAAAAAAAAAAAGTAATAATATACTTGGAAAGAATATGCTTAAGTGTGAATTGAGTGTAATGTTTTCAGACACTAAATAACTGAATAAATAACTAAATAAATGTTAATTGCAGTTAAAGGAATAAAAAAAAGGTGCTATAGTTTAAATGTATATTAAATGCAATTAGCTGAACTTTAGTGTGCTTTTGACCCACTTATGTACACGTTTATTTGCAATTTCATATTTCTCTTGTCTTTGAAATATAGTTTAAGTGCACTGCTTATTGTACTGACAAGCCTTTACGGTAAAGTAAAACATACTTAATGTAATTTCTATTGAAATATTGTGACAACCTGTCCTGAACTAACCTGACCATGTCATAACATGGTCAAATTAACTGATATTTTTTAAGCAATGGGTGTAAAAAAGCACTCAAAAATGATACTCAAGTGAAAGTACAGATACTCTAAGTATGGCCAAAAACATACTCAGGTAAAAGTAAAAAAGTACAACTTTAAATTGTACTTGAGTATTAAAAAAAAAATACAAGTAACCTAGAAAAAAACAACAACAACAACAAAGGTTTGGTTAAAGGGAGAAAGCAAAACAAAACACAATGTAATAAGTACTTTTCAAGTTGAAATAAAATCATCAGGAATAAAAAGTACTGTTTTTTTCTTTAGAAATGTAATCAAGTAAAAGTACAGGTCAGTTTAAATTGTACTGGAATAAAGTACAGATGCCCCCAAATAATACTTAAGTACAGTAATCAAGTAAAATTACTCAAGTATTTTACACACCTGGTTTCAAGAGACACATTTCTTCTCAGTTACATCATTACAACAGTATTGCTTTCTGCATGCTATTTGTACAAACTTTGACTTATTATTATAGTATTATTATAGTATTATATTACTTAAGACAAAGTATTTTCAAATGTGCAGTTTTGAAAATTTGTAATTTTCTGTTTGAATTACATTTTAACATATATTTTTGCAAAAACAAACAGTGCTGTACACAATAAAGAATCATTAAGCCATTGACCCTTACACATTAATTAATTAATTAATTAATTCCTTCATTCAATGCATGTATGTATGTATGTATTCATTCATTTAGCTAAATAGATAATAACTGTTAGTCGTGTTGAAGAAGTACACTTATTTTGATGTGTTGACTAACATAATAAAGCATGTAAAGTACTTGATTATAATTTTAACTGTAGTGTGTTTGATATTATATCTAAAGGTAAAATATTTTAAAAATACCAAATTGCAAATTCCTCATTATAGATGCACAATTACACATATTTAAACAGGACATACACATTTCAATAGAAATGACATTAAAGTATGACACTGAAAGGTCAACTGCTTGTCAGTGCATTTAGCAGAAACCATACAATTATAAAATTACCTGTGAAACTGTACTTAAGTTAAATGGGTAAAACGTTAATTGCATCTTAATAGGTTATAAATTGAAACTATACTGTTTTATTTAATCAACTTGCAATCAAGTCTCTGAAAACATAACATTCAGTTTGTACTTATAAAATATGTTATTTCTGTAATAAGTACTCTTTTAAAGCATGCTAAAGGGTACTTCTTTTTCACAAGGGTAGGCTTCGTGTGGCTGCACATGTCATACATCTATCATGAAGGGAATAGTTTCAGAAGGTGATGAATTGTGTCGACTACGAATACACATGGGTTGATTTTCACGTCGGTTTGCCGTGTTCGTGCACAGAACCCTTGGCAGACACAAAACAATGCGATTACGTGAGGAAGGATATTACTTGAGTGCTGAGACGTCCGTGTGATGGCTAAACAGATGTGCGACTCTGAACAACAACGGCTGTTTCTCTGCGCTCCAGTGTGCATTCCTGTCCACTGTGTCTGGTGATCGCATGAGTCATTATGCTGGATTTTGGCATGACAGGCAAAGACTTGGAGGAGGAGGAGGAGGAGGAGGAGGAGTGGGAGAGCAAACAGTCCGAGACTGTCGTGTGTGCAACGACACGGAGATGTGCCAACCTGAGCCTGTCAGTGTTTACACTTTTCTCACCGCACATACAGGACACAGCGAAAGAGAAAATGACACCGCAACAGTAATTGGTAACAGCCTACAGTATGCTTTTTAAATGATTCATTTCCTGCAGCACGCTTAATCATATTGAGATGAAGCAGTGCCTTTCGAAGTGTTTCTCCAGCAGGCAAAGGGAAAACATCTGGCTGTACAAATTCACATCATGTGTGTTCACCCTCATTTCTGGTGTGAATGTAACCATTGTTGTTGTCAAAACAACAACAACATAAATAATAACTAGTTACATGTAACGGAGTTATGTAATATAATTACTAAATAAATGTAACTGTAATCTGTTACAGTTATTGAGAAAAAAAGTGTAATTAAATTACAGTTACTTATGAAAACGTTCATGACTACAAAGGTGGTCTGAATATTTTCACACACATACAGGTTTGATTTATTTCCCAAATTGCATTGACAGCTCTAAAGTATTAGACGCCAATATTTTTAGGAGTTTAGGACACAGAATAGGAAACATGTTTATTTGATAACTGTTTTATTTTCTATTTGGGTTTATGTATATGTTTTTGTTTCTTTTTTTTAGATTAACTGTTTTATTTTCTATTTGGGTTTATGTACATGTTTTTGTTTATTTTTTATTTTTTTAATAACTGTTTTTTTTTCCAAGGCATTGTTTGATGCCAGTGTTTCCTGTCACAGCTATGCAAATATTTGATTTAAAAAATAGCATCACAGCTATTAAACCATATCTTGTTATGATTTTAAATCTGTATTTAACCTCAGAACTATCTCAAAGTAAAACGAAGTGCTAAAGTCAGATTTTGTGGTGGCTGTGCTTTAAAATGAAATTACAAGTGATGAAGGATTTTGAAAGTCTGACAGTAATCAGTGTAGAACACTATTGTAAGGTTAACCCTGCCTAGTTTAAATGTTTCAAAATGATTAGCAGTTGAGAACATTCATTAGAAATTTAGAAAATAAATTAAAAAGAAATCAAATATAATCAGTTTGAAATAGTTACACTATATACTACATTTTAAATGGAGTATCTTGTAATCTGTAACCTATTACATTTCCAAAGTAACCTTCCCAACACTGGTCTTTTCCTCCCATTTCTACCATGATTCAACTTCCCACGTCTACTACCTGTGCAGATAGCAACAGCGCAACTGGGTTGTAGGTTGCCAGGTTGAGGTCACAAATGGATTGAAATTTGTATGATGTGTCGATTGTGTGAGTAGGTTGGGTTTCATACAAGATCTGGCAACTAGACAACCTTGGAATAATAATTGATGTGCCTTTTTAACAAGGTTTGGGCCATACAAATTACGAGAGCTTCCTGGGAGAAATAACAAAATGGGAGGGGGGGCGGGAGATGGGTGTGAAATACGGGAGACTCCCGGGGGAAAAAACAAAACAAAAAAAAAACTTTGTCCTTTTAACCTTCTGGCAACGAATGGATCAGTTTATGTGGAGATTTAGCAACTTGCTTAATTCTTGAATAAATCAGCATTTCTATTGTTTTATGTTATTGCTTTTTATTTTTTTGAACTAATTAGTTGAATGAACGAGTCAATGACTGAATAAAGAAAGTCACCTAGTGGTGTAACGATGTAACTGCAGAAAATACCCTACCACAAATGCACAAACTTGAGCGTGCTGTCTCTCTCTCTCTCTCTCTCACACACACACACACACACACACACACACACACACACACATACACACCCATTAAATGCATGCAAAGAGATCTGCTTCCATCTAGCGGTGAAGTATAATACTGCAGTGATCATTATTACACACGTACTTCTTTTCCCTTCTTTCATGCATGAAACTGTAATAAAGCATAAATTAAACATTTTATGAAACATCTAAATATATGTCTTTATTATCATATTAAGCATTTTATTTCACCAAATCATTGTCATTCTGTGATTATCTTCGTGCATTTATATATAATAGAATATGTTTAATATCATGTAAACTCTCAGTCTCACACACCATTTTTCTGATCATGTTTTCAATTTGCAACACCAAGGTCTTTATGCTCCCGGGGGTCTTCGTGCATTTCGGATCCACCCACGTGTTTCCAGTAGCTGCAGCAGCAGCAGTCTACATGTGCCACTGAAATAGCTTTGCGCATCACGCATGACAACAGCAGCCGCTCATCTGATTCGTTCCTGCGCACATCAGTGAACAGACACGGAACGCGACTGCTCTCGCCGCAGCCAACGAATCTCACCGGGGGCGGGAGATACGCAGAGAATCCCCCGCAGTGTTGCGCGCCTCGGCACATCAAGCAAAAGCTACTGTTGAACTGAAGGTAGGAAATCATGTAACGCTCAATGAGGAACCATGCACGAATGTTCTGAGCATGCATTTATGACCGTGCTTTCATTTTTGATGTGGTGCACGCATTAGATAAGAATGACAAGACTATCACAGTGTTTTGAAGCTTTGGGCCTGTAAATCAACTGATTTACATTATGTAACTATATAATTACATATAATCATAATGTATATGATGAGTTACATTAGTGGGACTTTAAATAATGCATGCATTAAACTGATAAAATAAATGACAATGTGTGATCCAGAAATGTGGTGATTTTGTAGTTAGCCATCTGGCTACCAAAACAAACACAAAACAGACTGGTGTTTTTCTTTTATTAAGCTCATAAATGCCATATAATTTTGAAATTGATGTCTTTTTTGAGTATGAATGTATTATCATTAGGTGTAAATGCATCAGTAGGTGTGGTAGGATAGTCAGTAAATACAGAATCAGCTTTAATGCATGTCATCAGCCTGCTTTTATAATGACGTGACATTTTCCCATGGTTTCCTTGAGCTAAGCCTCCTACCCGTTGTTCTGAACTGTACTAGCATCCATGTTAATGGACAGTCCACTTTTATTTTGTAATTTTGCTTAAATATTGTGTATGGATAATTTTATTTAATATAATTTGAGTGCATACTTTTTTGTATGTATCTTATTTGGCTTTATTGAATTATCACGTTATATCGTCTTTTTATTGATGTAAGTATTGGCCCAAAAAAAAAAAAAAAAAATGGGCCGTCCAATAATAATGATTGATTTGGGGGCAAATGTCCACACTGTACCTGGAAATAGTACAGTTGACTCAAAGTTTTGTTTTTGTAACACTATGTAAGTATTGGCCCCAAAAAAAAAAAAAAAACATGGGCCGTCCAATAATAATGATTGATTTGGGGGCAAATGTCCACACTGTACCTGGAAATAGTACAGTTGACTCAAAGTTTTGTTTTTGTAACACTACTAAGAATTCACGCCCTTCTTCTTCTTAGTATTATTATTATTATATGTATACTATTGTACATTACAAACATAATATGTCTTCATTTCTTCACTTTCACCTTGCATCTCCATTAAATCTGCATATCATCACTAGGGTTGTAACGATTCACTCAACTCATGATTCGATTCACAATTTTTTTTTAACAAAATTACATTTGAAGACATACAGTAAATGAAAAGGTGTCGTTTTATTAGGCTATTGCTGCACGTTTCTTTGTGAAATTAAAATATAACAAAACTATATTGAAATTTTAAAACAAACCCCAAATCAAACAAGTTACACAAATTAAAGATATCTCTTAATATGAACAAACTAAGGCTTTGTCTGTGCTCTTTCCATTTAAAATTAGAGGCAACCACTGGATTTTAATCATGATCTAAATAAAGATGCAGCATGAGTAGTTTTTTATCTAAATTAGACTGTATAATTTCTGACTTTAGTTTTGTGAAACTATACTACATAAAATATATCCGAACGAAATGGCAGACGAGTTGAATGAAATGCAGATTCACTTTCTGACAGCAGGTGGTGCTTATGAACAGCAATGATACAGTGTTTCCTGAGTTACCGCTGTAAACGAAGCAGAGCTGCGCTTATGAACACTGCTTTAAAGGGTTACTCCACCCCAAAATTAACATTTTGTCATTAATCACTTACCCCCATGTCATTCCAAACCCATAGAACCTTCGACAAAGAAGAGCGTATGCTGCTTGCGTCCAGCGGATATACTCCAAAATGGCGCTACGCTGAACCAGAGGAGACGAATTGTTGAATAAAGTCGTTGTTTTGTTTTCTTTGCGCCGAAAAAGTATTCTCGCTGTTTCGTTAAATTCAGATTGAACCACTGATGGCAGATGGACTACTCTGACGATGCTTTTCATACTTTTTTGGACATTCACAGTGATATTTACTTGGCAGTCAATGGGACAGTCACAAACCTCCCGGTTTTCATCCAAAATATCTTAAATTGTGTTCCGAAGACGAACAAAGCTTTTACGGGTTTGGAACAACATGAGGGGTAAGTGATTAATGACAAAATTTTCATTTTGGGGTGGAGTAACCTTTTAATATGCTGTTCAGAGGCAAGATGAAAAGAAAATACCACATAAACTTTTCTAAAGATAGTCAGTTCCCCTCAGAGATACATTCATATAAACTCCTACTCCAATTGTATCGCGATTTGTTTGGCATCTCAACCGATCTGAATCGTCACATATTTGAATTGATTTTCGACCAGCTCGCGGTTAATCATTACATCCCTAATCATCACAAATCAGGTGATATGCTCTGTCCACAAAATTCTTTAAATTTATACAAATGGGGACAATAAAGTGGACCAAGTGCTCTTAGCGTTTTTGACACGTTATAAGTAAACTGCAAACTAGGCCGTATCACAATTTCGACGAATAACAAATGTGTTTTTTTAGCTTGTTTACTATAGCCTAATGTAATACACATCAAACACATAGACATGACTTTTCTCCTCCCTTGTAGGCACCATGGCCACACCAACGTCTCTAGATCCAGATTTGTTTCGGGAGGTGCTGGAATGCCCCATTTGTCTGGAGATGTACAACCAGGATCAGCTTCGACCCAAACTACTGCAGTGCGGTCACTCAGTTTGTCGTCAATGCCTTGAGAAACTCCTCGCCAGCACGATAAATGGTGTGCGCTGCCCCTTCTGCAGCAAGGTGTCTCGTATGAGCAGTATTTCCCAGCTGGCTGACAATCTCACCGTGTTGAAGATCATTGACTGTGCGAGTTCATGCAACTCTACCATGGGTCTCATGTGCAAGTCTTGTAAAAACCGCCTGCCCCGGCAGTACTGCAGTGACTGCAGCATCGTGTTGTGTGATATTTGTAAAAACGAGGGCCACCAGTGTCAAGGTCACGTCGTACAGGCCATTCGCGTGGCTGCCGAACAGTGCCGGAAAGACATCAGCGGGAAGATTTCTAACTTGCGGGAGGCAATGGGAAACATTCAGAAGAAGAAGGCAGCTATTGACAATGTGACAAAATCACTCAGACTGAAGTACAAGGCTGTACAGCAGGAATACGCCAAGGCTGAGCTGCGGCTCCAAGAGGAACTTGGCCGCTCACACCGTGCCTTTGCCACCTCCTTGGCCGAAATAGAGAAACTCAATGCCCAGATTCTGGAGGAGCAGACTTACCTGCTCAATATCGCTGAAGTGCAGGTGGTGTCAAGATGTGACTATCTTACCATGAGGATCAAGCAGACAGATATTGCTCTACTGGAAGAAGGGAGCAACCATGAAGAAGAAGAGTTGGACTTGAAAACTAATTTGCCTGTCATTCTGAAACTACAAGACCCTGAATTTGTTAAAACGGAGTGCTCGAAACCTTTGAACTTGGGGCAGCTGACCACAAAACCCTGCATTGTCAATGCCGAGGAAGAAGACGGACTTGATTTCACCACTTCCGCTGCCGCCCCATTGGACATTTACCGTGATACTGACATGGATACGGCAGTTGAAGAGGCTGTTTGCGCTTCTCCCGGTAGCTTCAAGTCCAAGTCTGTCGATGGTGGTAGACCTTCTCCAGGAGCTTCTGGTGGGCAACTCTGTCAGTTTGTGAAAAAGATGGGCTGCAAGGGCAATCTGCCGGGCATGTTCAACTTGCCGGTAAGTATTTGCGTCACGCCGCAGGGCGAGGTGCTTGTGGCCGACCGAGGAAATTACCGCATCCAGATCTTCAACCGCAAGGGCTTCCAAAGGGAGATACGGCGCAACCCGAGCAGCATCGACAACTTTGTCTTGAGCTTCCTAGGTGCCGACCTGCCCAACCTCATCCCGCTCTCTATTGCAATCACTGCTCAAGGCCTCATCGGTGTCACCGACAACTATGACAACTCCGTGAAGGTTTACACCACTGATGGCCACTGCATCGCCTGTCACAAGAACCAGCTCATCAAGCCATGGGGAATCGCGGCCATGCCTTCAGGCCAGTTCGTTGTGTCAGATGTAGAGGGGGGAAAGCTGTGGTGCCTGGCCGTGGATCGTAACGTAGGGGTTGTGAATTACAATCGCTTGTGCTCGGCCGTCAGGCCCAAATTTGTAACTTGCGACTCCTCAGGTACAGTTTACTTCACACAGGGCTTGGGTCTAAACATCGAGAATAGACACAACGAACACCACCTTGAGGGGGGTTTCTCAATTGGGTCGGTGGGAATGGATGGCCAGCTGGGAAAGCAACTCAGCCACTTCTTCTCAGAGACCGAGGACTTCCGATGCATTACCGGCATGTGCGTGGACTCTAATGGAGACTTGATCGTGACAGACAGTGGCCGTAAGGAGATACTACAGTTCCCTAAAGAAGGTGGCTATAATATTCTCATTCAGGAGGACTTAACATGCCCTGTAGGGGTAGCTGTTACCCAGAAGGGACAACTGCTCGTCTTAGATTGCTGGGACCACTGTGTGAAGGTCTACACTTACTTGCAAAGGAGACGTTCCTCTACATGTTAAGATTGCTGTGTGGATAATTTAGAATACTTTTCACTTTAATTCAGTGGCTTCATTATAAATGTTTGCTTCTCAGTGATTTCTGACCTGTGGCTTGGAGTAGCCAGGATCAGGCAACTAAGCCGCAACCATTCACCACTGCCATGGAGCAATTGGATGATGACTTATGGGTATTATTATGGATGCTTTGGGCAAATAGATTTCGAAATTTAGCACAACCGATGGCAATAACTGACAATGTTGTTCTTTATGTGTGCAAATCAGTTATCGTGTTTTGTTTTTTTTCTTTTTTTTTCTGTGCTGCTGTACAGGCATTAAGATGGTGTTTTGAGTTACTGAGAAGGCCATCTTTATAGTTGCTATATAAATGATATCAAAGGAATATTCCTGTTTCGATTCGAGTTAGGCTCAATCAAAAGCATTTGTGGTCTAATGTTGATAATCACTAAAAGACCTCCCCCACCCAAAAAAAGGTTATGGTGAGGCAATTACTATGTAAATGTGAGGCTTATATCAAAAAAAAAAAAAAAAAAAAAAATTTTTTAATCCAGGTTCCTTTTCACAAGATTGTGCTATTATTTTAGCCATTAGCAATGTTAGCAATTCATTGCTGTGTCTATCTGAGGCATGTCACGTGAAGATCGTCGTACTGTGCAACAGTAAGCGAGTGTCTACGTGTGTGAAAGAGCAAAGGGGAATAACTGAAAGCAGTTGAGAGCCGTACAGCACTGGGATTTTCTTAATTCAACACAGATGTTAGCCATGTTTGTAATACTGAGGGTGAGTGGGGATTGTTGACTTTTACTGTACGTTAAAAGAGAAGGATGAGATGGACTATGCCTGGGTCTGAACCTCTGCCCACTCAAAGAAACTGTGTACATGCATTTAATATACATAATTATCTCAGTGGAGTTTCCATACTTTAAAAAAAAAAAACAAAAAAAAAAAAAAAACCTTTTCATCATGGCAACAAAACGTTTGATAATTTCACACACATTTTTTTTTCACACTACATTCTTGTTAAGTAACACTACATTCTTGTTAAGTAATGAATCCATTTTGATTTTAATTGTTTTTTTTTACTTTATTTATTTTGGGTGGTAATCAACATAATGCTACAAGTGCTGCTGATTGAACTTAAAGGGTTAGTTCACCCAAAAATGAAAATTAGGCTGTGTTTTACTCACCCCCCAAGGCATCCTAGGTGTATATGACTTTCTTCTTTCAGATGAATCCACGAATGCGCAACGCCGACCTCATACGTCATCCGCCCAGAACTGCTTCCGTTTACAACAGTGAACGCAAGCTAGATTAAATTGATTATTACGTTTTAAATATGGTAATTTTTTTTACAAAAATGCATCGATTCGCTACAGGAGCCGTGTGCGACACTTGTTTTTATGGATGGGAGCTTTTTATTTCACTTATTTTTTAGTGAAGCACTGCACCACCCGCTGACTGCAATGATAGAGCCTGGAATAGCCAGGACGATTTTTTATATAACTCCGACTGGATTCATCTGAAAGAAGAAAGTCATATACACCTAGGATGCCTCGGGGGTGAGTAAAACAACCTAATTTTCATTTTTGGGTGAACTAACCCTTTGACTTGTACTGAACCCAAAATATTCCTTGAACAGGAAGGATTGACATGGAAAATGTGAAACATGCTGACTCAAAACACTTCTGTGTGTGTCATGACTCATGTTCATGTGTAGTTGTTGTGATAAGTTCCAAAAATGCCCTCACTATTAAAGTGCCCTTCCATACCTGAAGTCTGTGTCAGTAAAGGATTTTCTGATTTATGTAACATTATGAATCTTCTATATATTAAAATACAGTTACACTAAAGTACAATACACTTGAAAAATGTTAAGTTATTGTTACTATAGAGATGAGAAGATAATTATCTAAATGATCTCAAAGTTGTCTAATACTGTTAATCGGTTACTTTGAATTGGTTTGTAATGTACTCCAGTTTGTGATAGCATTACTCTGTTGCAGGAACCAAAGGCATGTTAAATTCAGGAGATATTTACTAGCCTATCGTCAGAGTAACTGCAATAGTTCAACTGAAGCAGGGAAATGACTCAGCAGTTTACATGCTGTATTACACCGTATATGAAATCATGTTTTGCATTGAAGTGTCCTTGTATCTAAGAGGTGGATCTTAAAACTCTCCTGCTTGAAAGCTTTAAATAGCATTAAACTGTCTTAAAATCTTGCTTATGATATTTGATTTTCACACGGGTCTGTAGGTTCAGAAGTGTGCTGGAGCAGATTAAGGCTATATTCAATATTCACAAAAAAGATTAAAACAGAAACATATGATCGCAATTCATAACACAACTCAAGTATGCATTGCATTCTCCGGGTTGCAAAGGATGATATAGTGGATGCTAGTGCAAAATATCTTTTATATCAGTTATCTCATTTAGGTACTCAGCTACTGTCACTGTCAAAGTCATAACACAGCCAGTTAAATGGCACAGACGTCTTGAGCGCTGAGGTTTGTTACCTCCAAACTATGCAGGATTGCATGTAATATATCACAAGTTGGTAGCGCTTTGGTAATTAATTTCCATCAGCACATTTGTGAAAAGTATTTTTCTGGCCTTATTACATTTAAAAAATGCATCTGTACATTACCAACAAATGCAGACAGCCTGCATTGGCCTTATAACAAATGCACTCTTCCTGCACAAGAGATCCAGAGATACTAGTAATGTGCACTGTCAAGCCATTAGAAAAGAATGGAACATGATTTTCATTGAGTTGCCTGGCCATGTTAGGGCTTTTAAAGACCACTTTAATTTATGCCTTTACACAGCGACACTGTGAGCAGAATTAAATTAAATAGTTAAATTCATCTCGCTTTAACCTTAAAGAAAAATACTTAAACCAAACAAATTCTGTTGAAATGCAAAAGTAAAGACAACGAAAATGAAAATGATGTAACAAACACCTTTCATTCACCTCTTTCTGCCAATTTGTTCATCTTGTTTTGGCTGTTGTCCAAAGGTTCATCTATGGCCTTCTATAAAAATGTCTTGTTTAGCTTGGGTTAGGAATTGTGCTCATCCTTTTAATGGCTCCCACTTAATGTAATATGTCATATATGTAATTTATAGAAGTCATATTTTTTTTTTCTAAATGTTTACCAGTATATACTGTCATCACATTGCTCTGTCTAGTCACTGACAAATTGATTTCTAATTGGTTTCAAGTATCAATACATGTACCTTTTCCAGTAAACACAGGAGAATGCAATCATCTTAAACAACTCAATCAAAATATGCTAACCAAATCTGCATGATTGAAAAATAGCTAGAGGAATTATTGCTATTAAAAGATCTGGTAAACATCATCATCTTGGATGTATAATGCAACATACGAAGCATGAGGCCCAGGTCTTTTGTTACTTATTTTTACTTTTAGCAAACACAGAAAGCTCGATCCACATTGTAGGATATATTTTTGTCCTTCTGTAATGATTGAAGAATTGAGTTGAAGACCATGAGTGATTTCTCTCTCTCTCGCTCTCTAGTTTCTTATTGGTTGTCAAGTCATAATGTGATGTCACTTGTTCATGACTTGTTGCAGAAGTCACTTTTTAACATTACCCATCATGCTTTAGGTCAAAGGGCCTAAACAATGAGTATTTTCTCACACCATTGTGCTTCTGGGTTTGATGGCAGGAGATTCTGAATTGACATTACTATCATAAGATCTAAATATAATCATGTTCATGCATTGATGTTGGTGTCAGTGAAATTAGTCCCAAATTCGTGTTTGTATTGTTCATGATCAATTGTGTGCAATAAAATCAAGATCTGAGATTGTCTGGTCTTTTATGACTCCACACTCTAAAAAATGCTGGGTTATTTCAACCCAATTTTGGGTCAAATATGGACTAACCCAACTGCTGGGTTAAATTTTTACATTAAATTTTTAACCCAAAAGTTGGGTTAGTCCAAATTTGACCCAAAGTTGGGTTGAAATAACCCAGCATTTTTTAGAGTGCACCATCCTCATTCACTGCAGCTTAAAATTTTCCTTACTGAAACTGTATTAAAAATCTTTGCCTCAGTATTACTGAATGAATTAATAATCCATTACCAGGTCACCTGTTGGAAACGTTTAATTGTGTTTAAAAGTAAATTCAGGACTGTGCACACATTTATAGTCTAGTCAGCCAGATTTCTGAAAAGTTTGTCAAGGGGTATATTTACAATCCCAATATTAGTTAATCAATACGTGACCATAGTCTTAATCCAGTGCATCTATTCTGGTTATTGATCCCTGGCTTCCAGATATACGACATAAAGCATTTGTAACTCCTTTAGGGTTTGCAGTTGCATTCGTAAAAAAAAATGTGAACATTTGTCAAAGTTTGGATCAGCTTATGTGTTTGTGAATGTATCGTTCATAACTGATCTCATAGTGAGGTCCTGACAAAATTCAACCTTGAAGGGAAATATACTTTCTGTGTTGGTTATGTATGTCATAATATATTTGCTGGGGTTGTTTAGGGTTATGGAAGTCATACGACCATCCCACAAGAATAGTTTCCAGGAGAATCAACAGCCACCCAGATGAGAAGAGTCCGGAACATTTGCCTGTTAATGTACAGTTGTGTGTAGTGTGTTAAAAATATGTCATATGGTTTTAGACGACCTTGAACATAGTGGACATTTCAAACACTTTTTTTTTTCTCATTTTTGTTGACTTTGTGAGTTTTTTCTCCCACAAAGCTGTTATTGAAAGCACCGAGGCACTGAAGGCGTGTAGACAGCAAAATGTATTTGTTCTGAAACATTTTCTTGTGTTTGGGAACTATACAGAATATAAATATATGGTAAGATTTTGGCACACATTGTAGATCGTCTGCAAATTCTCCAAATCGCTTATCTGTAGGGTTGCAGGGTTAGTTATATATAACTTTGTTATTATTTTAGTAATGTAAAATGTAATATAAATGTAAAATAGGGGAAATGAGCATGCACAAATAAAGCTGCAATATGGAGGCCTACTAGATGCACTATGCAGTTTGAGTGATGAATGGAGCTCAAGTGTAGTTCAGGCAGACCACGGCATGACAGCCGGCATCAGCTGACTCTCAGCTGATTGTAACTCCTCCCACTACAATTAAATAAGATATATAAAGTTCATCCGTACTCACACTTGCCTTAGTCTGTTACACAGACATGCGCTTACCCTCCTCCATCCCCAACTCCTCCTTATACAGGCATGATCACTTAGCGTCTTGTCCACGGTAATCATCTATCAGCTAATTGTTGCTTAATCTTGTATGGTTTCATTTACAGACCTGTATCACTTCTGCATGGAATTTTATATCTGTTGCATATTAAACATTCTGGTAATTGCATTAGGCTTTGGGGGTTTCAAACCTCAGTGAAGTTTTCTTGTGGACAGCTCAGAATCTGAACCCTTTAGAGCAAAGCCTGCCGCCAAAATAATGTTCAGGACCTCTACAATAATCTTAATCAAACAGAGTGGTCCTGACTGAACTA